GCTTTTAAACATGCTTTCATGGGTCATCTCTTGTGCTCGCTCTTGATTTTCCTTCACCAGTCGTCCAGATTCTTTTAGCAGCTACTCCTTCACCTCGATAGGCGTGTCTTTGGAATTTGCCACGATGGAGTAGATCAGCTCGTACTCCCCCAAAAGACTGCTCCGCATAATCACCAATTGTTCAGCTTCATCCAGAGGTTCTTTCAGTTTTTGTAGTCCCACAGTTTGTTTACATAAACTGTCGAGGTGCTTGGACATCGTCATTCCAACTGTCATCTTTAAATTATGAAGACGACGAGTCATCGACACACGGATTTTAACTTCGTCTGATTGTAAAAGTCCTTGAGCGCTTTCACGCGATAAAAGCCGAGAAACCCAAAGAGTCTTAGTATAGTTTCTCGAATAAAAATCCATTTGGCAATCAGCCCTAGAGCTTTCATATCGTTAGGCAACAATTCTAAAGTAACCTTTGACGGGTCTTTCACGTATTGAACATGTACCAAAAGCCCTTTTTGCGCCAGCGTCATACGCATGGCAAATTCCAGTGAAGGTGGTTGTCATTTGTCAGGATTAGCTCGGATTTCTTTGAGGACATACTTGCCTAAAGAGCTGGCGACGTACGAGGTTGAGCGTTGCGGCTATAAATCTGTTAAGTTTAATGACAGATACCAAAGTTGTATATTGTTTGAGGTCCATAGTTCTCATGCTAACCGTGTAACATTTGAGTCCTATATCTATGATGTGTTTCCATTGTACATCTCTAAGTTGGCTGGAAAAGCGAAGGAGTGGGCGGTAAGCAATCTTGTCGCTGATCCGGGATGTTTCCTGAATCTCAAGGCTCTGTAGGACGTTCTGCGCTTGGCGTTTGAGCCATCGCAGGATGAACACCACCATCGATCGGCTTTCTTCGCGTTGAAACAAGGTCGTCTATTAATGCTGAAATATACCCAACGAAATCTACACTTTGCGTCGTTCATCGTCACCGACCCCATCGACACGGTGACCCAAGTCCACGTGTTCGTCACGGGCATGAACGCCGGTCATCAGAGTTTTTGTCTGACGTGAAAGCCTCCGTCGTCGCTTGAAGAAGCGTTCACGATCGCATTACGTGAAGACTTCAGCGTCATGGCTTCGCACAAAAATCAAACGTCGTACCATCGCGCCGCTCCAGAACCCGAGACCACGAAAATCGACGCGATAAAACACGTTCCTCACTCGCAACGTGTAATGGGCCACGAGATTCGGCAACCCGTGGTGACGCAGCAATTAGTCTGCTTTCGCTGCCGTAACCCTGGTCACCGCGCGGTGGTTTGCTGCGCGCCTGCCCCTGTGCTCTCTGTCGCCGATTCTGACGCCCCCGTTAAATTAGCTGCACAGCCAAAAACGAAGAGAACTAGTAGGCGGGGGGCGTTTTAGTGAAGGAAGAAGTGGGACGTAATTAAATGTTGAAACCTTCCCCAAGCCTCGTTGTGCATCACGAGCTCTGCATTCTACCACGTCGAGCAACGAAAAACAATTTATCGTGCTCACTGTACACGTTATTGGTGGGACGGGTTCGCTTTAAGTATTAATGGACTTAGACGCGACGAACAACTTTGTTCGTGCCAACAGTTTGAGTATCTTTCCGTCGCGGCCGCGTGGCCGCGACTACGGGTAATGTGGTCGTCAAGTACGCCGATGGTGATCTGCGGACACATCGACATAGGTCCTTTATTGTCTATTACCAGTTCGTTGGCTTTGAAGATGCAACGAGTTCCAAGTCATCGACCTTAGTGGATCGTTTGACTGCATTTTTGGGACGTCGTGGCTTGCACGGCATCGTACAACCATAGATTGACTTAATCGAACAGATAAGCTTCGTGACATCGATGTCAACGCTGTACTCGAAGTCCTTGCGGACCCTGCAAATACCTGGAAGCATGCTGCCGCCGTGGACCCAAACTCCACTACCGTTACCATCCTCGAAGGTGCGATCGTTCTTCGCTCGCGGTTTGCAAAACCTCGACATGCCCCTCCTCAGTCGAATAGTGGTTCCTGAGCCAAGATTTTGTGCCAAGGCTGCGGCCTACGGCGTCACACGGTCGAGCAGCAGCACCCGTGTGTCAAGGAAAGACACCAATCAAAACGCAGCAGAGGCTTTCGAGGGGCTACGCACAAGCAGTGGCTTCAACTTGTTCGAGGAACAACACAATCATAACAAAGCAGATTCCCCCTGTGCTTCACGCGATATCAGTGGCTTCCGTGTCTGCGCAGACATAAATCACTAAGTCTCAATAGGGGCTGTTAACGTTGACGTGGAATATTTTACCTGCACCGGAGAAGCGGCATTCGGTGCAACACGAGCAAGCGGTGGCTCCCGTACCCTTTCACGATGTGGGCGATTCTTGAGAGCAGCGTCTCTCGCAAATTTACGCGTAGGCTGTGCATTCTCCGCGTTCATCAACCTCTCTGGTTCGTCTTTAGTCTCTCATCGTCTATGTGGTCGTCGTACGCGTGTCCGTCTTTGCCAGTAGGCTCCCTCTCCTCGTTCGGTTTTGTTGCTCGAGACCTTCCACGTTGTCAGCCAGTCTGGTTCAGGTCCGCGCAGTCATTCGCTTCAGGTCGCGAGTTCGCCTCTTGACGCCGTTAGTGCTTCCTGAGCTTTCTTGGGAGACGTTGCTGCGTGATCTGACTAGAAAGGTGGCTGACCAACATTGCTTAGTGGTCCAAGCTTCAGCTCCTAACAATCATGAACGCTCTGTAAGCATGTTACCGAAGATAGCACGGGAAGAACGCTTCGTGACTCAGTCTTACGAAGAACTAGCAGCTTCTAAGAATCCGGATCTGGCACTCGCTCGCGATTCGCAGATGTATTCCCGGATACTATCCCTGCTGTCCTTGCTGCAGAGCGCGGTGTGTGGCACGAGATCGATCTCGTGCCCGCCTCAAATTACTGCGTAACTCACCAATGGCCGCGTCCACGTGATCAAGTGGAAGCCATCGATGCGTTTTTAAGGAAGCCTTGTAGCTGGTCACGTGCGCGAGAGCAAGTCACCGCACCCTAGTCCGACTTTTGTGTCAAGAAGGTGACCGAGGACAGCGTTGCGTCTGCGCCTTCAACAAGTTAAACGATGCTACAATCCCAGCGCAGACACCCATTCCACGCTATGACATGGTGTTAGATACTATGTAGGGCAGTACAGTTTTCTCGTCACTAGATCTGACGGATGGATTCTAATAGGATTCTTGTGCGCCTACAAGACGTTTCAATGACTGCCGTCAGAAAAGCCTAGTGGAATGCTCTGGGAACGGCTCGTGATGCCGTAGGGGCTTAAGAACGCCCCTACCACGTTCAACTGCATGGTGTCTGACGTACTGCATCCGTTTTTGAGACTTTGCGCTTAGTTACTCTGATGATATATTCGTTCACAGTGGCGCCGCCAGTGGCGCGACGGACCTTGATGTACACCTCGGCCGCCTCAGACAGATGTTTCAAGCGATGCGCAATAATAAGCTGTACAAGAACCTGACGAATTGTATTCTTTGTGCACCTGAGATCACAGTGCTATGTAGTTACGTCAGCGCGGAGAGTTTTTCGCTAACCCTGAGAAGGTGTCGTCAATCTGCGCATGGCTAGTCCCGAATGACCAAAAACAACAATCAGTCGCCGGGTTTGCCATCTATCTGCATCGCTATGCGAAAGATTTGCAGCAGTAATTCACCCGCTATCTCAATTATTGAAGAAGGACACCACGTGGTCGTGGTATCAGGAACATCAACAAGCATTTAATTAGGTAAAAAGGCGCCTCTCGACAGCGTTGGTGTTAACGCTGACCAACCATGACAAACCATTCCATGTCGTGTGCGATGCGAGCGACTTTGCAATCAGTTGCGCGCTGATGCAACGTGATGAAGCGGGTCAGTAATGCGTCGTTTATTACCAGTCTCTCCAATTGAAGCCGGAAGCGCGCAATCACCCCGTTTACGACAAGGAATTACTCGCGATGCGATACGTCCTCGTTAAGTTTCGCGTTTACGTGAATGGGGAGCAAATATTCGATCTATAAGAATTATGCTTCTTTGCGAACAACACAAAGAGCCCATCCCACAGACAGCGTATGACACGCTGGTCGCCGTTTTTCGCCGAGTACAACTAAGTCGTTCACTATCAAGCCAGGGTCGACTAACATCATTGTGAATGCTCAGTTGCGTCGCCTAGACTATGACCCCCGTGAAAATGTCCACATGAATATTTCTTTAGACGGGGACGACGACGAAGACTTTGTTGCGTGTGCAACACTTGGCATTAACGCTACTGTGGTAGCCGCGATAAATCTCCTTCGAGTTGAGAATGCGAATGCATATGTGTGCGGTAAATTTTACGGTCCACTTGTCTAGTATCTTCGAAACACGCCATCCACCGCGCTACGCAAGCTTCCTGCTTCAGCTCGCGCTAAAATCTCGCGCGATACTCGCTGAGGGATTGATGATGTATCGAATCGATCAAATTGATCCCCCATGCATCGTCATCCCGCTTGACGACCAGCTCCGCGGACGCATTCCCCACGAGCCCCATGACAGCGCGTCTGGGGGACATATGGACCGCGTAAAGACTAATCTCGCACTGTTCCGTGAGATTTGTCGACTTCTGATGTACAAGTAAGTCTGAAAATGGTTGCAATTTGTGAGATCTGTCGGCGCGTGAATTCTTTGCCTTCGTCTTAAGCTTCACTAAGTCCGTTGCCAGCTACCACGGAAGCTTGGCACTCCGGGAGCCTCGACTTCGTCTTCGGTTTACCCACCTAAGCGCAAGGCCGCACCGGCGTCTTAGTTAGCTTCAGTAAGATGTTTATCTTGCTCCAGTCGCCACTTCCATTGCGGCTGAAGAAACGGCGTCTCTGTTTATCGACATCGTCTTTGACGCCATAGACTACCTGCCGCGTTTATTTTTTGACCGCGATCCCCGCTTCACAGCTGCATTCTAGTCGCGGCTGTTCTATCTACTCGGTACTCGACTCTTGATGTTCACGGCTGCCCATCTCTATACTGACAGTCACACTGAACGTGTTACTCAATCGTTTGAGTACGTGTTGCGGTGTTTTGCCATGTCCATCTCTTCATGGAGTGCGTTCCTGCTAATGGCTGAATTTGCGATGAACAACGCGGCTCATACGATTACGGGTTTGACCCTCTTTTCGCAAATTAACGCGCGTCACCCACGTACTCTCGTTCTCGTGAACTTGCTGGGTACCTCTAAGCCTGGTGAGGAAGGGACACAATGTGCTATGGCGTCGATGGATGCTGCGGTGACCAACACCGCAGCTGACAGCGTTCCGAGTTTCAGGCCTGGCGACGATGCTGACGGTTCTTTTCCTTTGTAGGCAAACGATTCTTCGGTTAACGAAGCGATAGTTGATGCACATTGCCACGTCGCCGAATGCTCGTCCTTTCGACTCAGCGGCCATCAATGTCTTATAATACATAGAAAATGCGTGTACATTCTGTCGACACGCAGACGATTCGTCCGAGATGCTATTGCACATTCTGTCGACACGCAGAAGGCGGTTGCAGATCAAAGCGGTCGCAATAACGCTAAGAGTTTGCTACAGGAGACATAGCGTTGCTCTTAACAACAAGCATTTAAGCTTCTGCAATAACAAATTTGTCCACAAACAAACTAGCGCCAAGGTAATAAACCTTTTAAAATCATCAAGAATATTGGTGACGCACATACACTGGATGTACCAACTACAATGCAGCTGCACCCGACATTCTATGTCGGGCGTTTTAAACACCACCACCCGGCGCTTCTTTTATCTCTGTGCGCGACACCGCGGGCGCATACCGCGGCCTCCTATGAAGTGGCGGCTTTGGCGGTCCCGGAGATCGAAGACCACGCAGCACCTTATTGTCGCGACGTAGATCCTCGTTCGACTGTTCCAAATGCTCGGGACGCCGTTCCAGCCCATCTGCCGCTGACGAAGCACTCTCGGCGACCCTCTCTGCGTTCTCAGCGACATCGCTTACTCAATGCCATGTCGTTATCAACGAGGTCTATACGCTGATCCACCGCGCGTAGCAGCTCGACGACAGCAACACCAACAACAGGCGTCTCCCTCGCGTCACCAGTTGCGCCAAGTTCCAATTCGGCGCGACGGTCCTCTTCCGCTGGTTGATAGCCATAGGATACAACGTTTAATCGTTGAGGGTATTATGAAACATCTCGACGTACGAGATACTGTTGGTCGCGGCAGAGCTCGCCGCGATGATCATCATGCTCGCACCATCCTCGTACGACAGACACGGATCTACCGTGTACGGTGGCTGGAGTTCTCTCCAGAGATATATATTTGGGATCCTAGTACCACGCTTCTCCCTGAAGCCCAGACGTCGTGCAAAAAATTGTAATAATGTAACGGGGCATCCTGAAGCTTGTACTGGTGACAGTACAAGCTACTTATTCTGATGACAGAATAAGGCGGTGCCTCGTAACTTCACGTACACTCGTACGTGCAGAGGAAGACTGTAAGAAGAAGCGAGTACTTGGTTAGAGTAAAAAGTAGAACTGTATTTATAATAGTTAATGTCTGCAATAAATCACTATTTATCTTCATCTATCTATGTCTAAATACAAATGTGTAAATCAGTTATCTGCTCACCACTCATTACGTGCGTCTGTCGTGGCGCGTCTTCGTTGGTTGATATAATGGCCTATATCAACCAATTAGGAACTACTCGTAAGTGCTACAGAATATTTGTCCTTATGACAATATTCTGAGAATATAACTCTTATAGTCATCTTCTATTAACAATTTCTTATAAATTGTTATGTCACGATTCACCCCGTTACATCCCCCCCTTAACCTTCAGTCACTTTAGTGACTGATTGACTAAATGGATACTCGTCCCAAATCATTTGGGACAGGGTTTGCACTTGTTGGTCCGAGTCCACTTTCCAACATCTCATCGCATGGTTAACAAGCCCATGCGATGCGCGAGCAAGGCCGCCGAGAGCGCGTCTGCACGTCTCTGTGCGGACGCCGAAGCAGGAACCGCAGCAACTGATGTCTCATCGGTTGCTGAAGCGAACCAGCCTGTGTCACTTGGTGATGCAGGCGCTGGTCATGAAGACACTCATGTCTTCACAGAGTACGAGCTCGGTGTTTCATACTCTCCTGATATGGAAGACGGATCCGTATCGACGGCGATTGAATCCAAGCCGCCTGCCAAGCGTGGCATGGACGATGCTTTGCGTCGCAGCATCTTTGGTTCATCTGATGAATCAGATGAACCATCGCCGAAGCGAAGGCGCTCGAGGTCGCGAGACTCGGGCGCTAACAGTGGTGTCGGTTCTCCTATGGACACCATTTTCGCAACGAGGTGCCAGTACTTCTGTCGGCATATCGCAGGAAGAGAGGGACCGCAATGTCTTGCGTCTCGCTCCCGAGAAGAAGGCATGGATGCCTCCCAAATACGTCATGGATCACTTGTCGGCGACGTCGAGTGATCGTTATCGAACACGATTGTTCGATTCGTCAAGGATCCATCACCTTGACCCCAGCGCGAAAAACTATCGCGCTGAGAATGAATTCTTTATCGATGCTTTCTTTAGACATCGAGGGTACAGTGGGAATCACAAGTGTGATGGTCCCTCACTGCTTCAAGCGTGGAACGCCTACATCCATAACCTTGAGGATGTAGGTCGTGACGCTTGGAACGACAAACTTATCAAAACTCGTGATAAGTTTGAAAAGCGAACCCCGACAGGTGCACGCTACAAGCTGCATCGTCTGTCAAGGGCGAAGGGATTACCCTGCCTCTCATGGGGAGACTCGTGCCCATGTTGTGTGAACAACTCTGCACGAGCACCTAAGGAGGCTTACCTCCTTACCAGCCCGTGGTGGCGCGTACGTATCTCTACTGAGATGTACGAAGGGATTGACAACCTGAAATCCCTTAACGACCGTGCCGGGAAGACTTTCTCCGGCGGTCCTTCTGCAACACAGGATGTGCCGCGTCGTACTGCTCAACCAGACCCAGTACGTCGATCATCAGTTGGGAGCGGGGCTCCCAAGTATCTCAAGACGGGGGATAGCCCGGCCACCAGACGAGATAACTCGTCCGACGTCCGTTCACGTCGCGGTGGTTCAACAGCTGCTCAACTAGATAGCGATGGCCACGGCGAGAGTCCTCTAATGGAGGTGGAGGAGGAGGAAAGACGCTCTCCACACGATCGTGGGGATCCATGTGTTCCCGAGAGCTTCTTTGATCGCGTAACGCAAGGGTTACGCAACGATCTCGAACATGAGCGGGACAGGCGTCTCCAGATGGCGGACACTGTCTCGAAGCATCGAGCTGAGTTTGCCTTTGCTCAGCTTGAGAACGAGAGATCTCTGACATCTCTTCGTGACGAGCTAAGGGTAGCTCGTGGGATTGTTGATCGGTCTCGGGATGAGATAGCTGCTCTCCAGACCCTTGTTGATGCCCACCATCGGGAGCACAAGGCTCTCTGCGAGATGCTTGAGCGCAAGGGCGTTCTTCATCGGAAGAAGCAGCGTACTGATGGCACGGCTTAAGCCGACCAACGTAAAACGCGGGATGCGTTCGCATCTTACGTGGTAACTCGATCGTGTATGCGTTGCCTAGGCGGTGCAATACACGAAATGGGCCGATGTACTTGGGTAGTAGTTTACTGCTACCCAAGTTAGTCACTACATGCTTTGGTAGATTAACCGTAGACAGTAGGACTAAGTCACCTTTATTAAGTAAAAGAGTGTTTGCCCTTCCATTCTTGTCAGCGTTTTGCTTTCGCTTATCCACCGCTTCGGCGATGGAGTCTTGCACAAAGCGAACTACCGTTTCACGAGCCAGTATGAACTCATCTGATGACTCGTTAGCTTCAGTGCGCTGTGAGCGCACTGCAGCAACATCAACATTTTCTTCAGTGAGGGCTTCCGCACTCTCACTGGGATCATTGTCTTCAGTGAGGGCTTCCGCACTCTCACTGGCATCATCTTCTTCGATATCGATGTTATCGATATCGGCATCAAACGCAATGACTTCTTCGTCAGAGCGTGATGAGCGTGAACCAAATCGGTTTTTGCTCGCGCGAGTCCCTCCCCCCCTTAAACCAGAGTTACACTCGAGTAAGGTGGGTACACGCGGATGGCGCAAGCCATTCACGTAAAACGGTGTATGTGTCGTGGACGCATGCACCGAGTTGTTAATGGCAAACTCTACCATTGGCAAAAACTCACTCCAACTCTTAAAGGAGTGTACGTATCCTCGAAGAATCTCTTCAAGGACACGATTGGCACGTTCCGTCTGACCATCTGACTCTGGATGATCAGATGTCGACATCTTCAAGCGCGTTCCGAGTGATTTGAACACGGAACGCCAGAAATCAGCAGTGAATCGTGGATCTCTGTCTGATACGAGTTCACGGGGCAACCCATGAAGTCGGAAGATGGTGTCAATAAAGACACAAGCACAGCCACTTGCCGTGATTGTCTCTGGTACAGCCACAAGGTGTATCATTTTGCTGAATCTGTCAACAAATACGAGAATACCCGTATTCCCGCGTGCGTCTTTGGATAACCCGAAGACGAAATCCATTGAGATGGATTCCCAGCACTCAGCCGGAACCGGTAGAGGCTGTAAAGGTGCACGCAGTGAAGGACTTAACTTCACTCGTTGGCAGACTTCGCATGCGCGAACATACTTTCGCAAAAACTGATACTGGCGGGGCCAGTAAAAGTCTCGACTCACCGTGAGATATTTTTCTCCCGGCCACGATTTCCTCCTATAGGAGCATCGTGATACTCGAACATGATCCGCAAACGCAGATCAGCATCATCTGGAATGACAACACGTGGTGTGTCACCAGAAACGGCTGTATAGTACAGTTAACCGTCGCGAGTAGTGTATCGATCTGATGCAGATCGATACGCAGGCGACAATCGTTTCAACGATTCTCGAGATGGTTGGGAGAGATGTGTCAACAACTTCACAATTTCACCATCTTGGGCGTATGCCCGCCTCACATCATCATACAACGTTGTAGATGGGACTGAGGATGTCATAACCGCAACAGTGACTGTCTCACTGTTGGGTTTCGCGACTTGTTCAAAGTCGGGACGACGTGAGAGTGCATCAGCGACGACATTTAGTCGTCCTGGTTTGTACTCGACCGTAAAGTTGTATTCTGCAAAGAATGACAACCACCGCGCCATTCGCTGTGAAAGGTGCGGGCTGTTCACTGCCGTGCGTAATGACGCGTGGTCAGTGTAAACAATGAAGGGTCTATCTCCTAATAGATAGACTCTGAACTTCGCAAGTGCATACTTCATGGCAAGGGGTTCCTTGTCATGCACTGGATAGTTACGCTCAGCTGCTTGCAGCTGACGCGACTGATAGCAGACGACGCGTTCAACGCCTTCTAGGTCGTACTGCATTAATGCACAGCCGATTGCAAAATCGCTGGCATCACAGACCACATGAAATGGCCTGTCTTGATCGGCTATTGCTATGACTGGGGATTGTATCAAGATCTGCTTGATACCATCAAAGGAGCGCTGACATTCAGCGTTCCATAACCACCTCTCGTTCTTTTTCAACAAACAAGAGAGGTGCACAGTCATCTCGGCGTAATTGCGTGAATACTTATGCAAATACGCCGCTAGCCCAAGGAATTTTCGAAGACCTTTGACATCAACCGGCACAGGCCAGTCGGTGATCGCCTTGATCTTTTCGGGATCAGGACGTACACCGTTCTTACCAACGATGCACCCAAGAAGTGGTATTTCGCTTGCTGCAAATATACACTTCTTGAGGTTTGCATACAATTGATGCTTTCGCATGATTGTAAGAACCTGTCGGACGTGGTACCTGTTAACCTCAACGTCCGACTTTCCATCCATAGCTCGACTATGGATGAATACGTCATCGAAATAACTCGGCGCGAATTCTCGTACTGGTCTCAACAGATGTGATACACATCTGTTGAACGTGGCAGGGGAATTACTAAGCCCTTGTGGCATTACTAGCCATTCCCAGAGCATGCCGCTAGGCGTGCTAACTGCGGTATAGGGTATATCCCGTTCTCGCATAACGATTTGATAGAAGACATCCATCAAATCCATGGACGAAAAGATGGTACTCTTTGACATACCATCAATGATTACGTCCTTCCTCGGTATCGGCGTCTGAGCCGGTACCGTTGCAGCATTCAACTTGTTAAATGCATGCACTATCCGCCACCATCCTGTTGCTTTTCACACACAGAAGGTCGGAGAGCTATGTGGGGAAGTTGATTCCCTCACATGGCCCGCAGCTAAACGATCGGCAAAGAACTTGTCGATCGCAAGTACTTGTTCACGAGGCAGTGGCCACTGCTTCATGACACAGTACTTCGAGCCTGGTTTAAGCTCGACCTCGTGTCGAATACCTTTATCCTTCGGTAATTCGCACGGAACAGTTTCAGGGAATACATCCTTGAATTCAACCAAATCTTCGTAGAGAGAATTTGTCTTGAGCGATTCCCACGATTGGGAGTCATATCGCTCAACTCGTGTCTTTTCATCTAGGAAACTCTCGTCCAGATATGAACTACTGAGAACTCTCTCGTTCTCAGTGAACACTGTTGCTGATGTTATGTCGGTTACACACTTGTCGTCAGCGACGAGTACGCAGATCTGCTTGACTTTGCCACTACGCAGATCACGCAAGAACCTTTTATGTTCGAGCGTTGGCAACTGAGTGATCTCCGAAGTTAACTTCGGAGGCGCAATCAGATCAAGTGTATAAGCGCCTACACTTGATCCGTTATTGACTATGACATTCAATGTCTCTGTCATTTCCTTGGGAATTATTACCTCAGGCTTCGAAGGACTTATTCTTTCGGCTTCCCGGGGACTTATTCCCGCGGGTTTCGGGGAACTTATTTCCGCCGTATTTGTAATCTTGGGACTTATTCCCTTTACTTCCTCTAGCTGGGGTTGCGCAACCACAGCGAGATCCTCTACGAAAGACTCTCCAGTCGATCTAGGATTATCGTTTCGCTTAACCTGAGCAATCGATTGTTTCTCTTCTAGATGTTCCCCGCTAGGGATACATCTTTGTCCCAGTCCACCCGACTTATTCGAGTGGTGGACCTTCGGCGCAGCCTGTGTTTCCTCACAGCCGCCGGAACTTTGCTCCGAAGTGTAACCGTTTGGTACACTAAGGTTTTGTGCAGTCGTACTAACGACCGTACCACAAGTGAGGCCATCGCACTCACTCGTAGTACATCCACACGCTTGTGGACGCTCCAAAACGTTCATCAGATGGCCATCTGATGAACAAGCGGCAGGCATCGTTACTGTCCGATGTTGCCAGTTTGCCCGTGGTTCGTACCTTCTGAGCCACGGTATTCCAACGATGACATCAAATTTGTCATCCAAATCCAATACGATAAAGTCATCGTCATATTGGGTATCTTCTAGCGTATAGTGGATCTTCACTATACGCTTCATGACGGTTACGGATGCGCCTATCGCAAGACGTACCGTCATCCTCGTAGGAGGTGTGTCACATTCACTGAATTTAAAGTGACCATCTTCTAGCGATTGGCGTCACACAAAATTGTTGGACGCCCCACAATCGAATAGAGCTCGAAGGGACAACTTATTCGTCACTTCGTGTAACGGGGTGAATCGTTACATAACAATTTATAAGAAATTGTTAATAGAATATAACTATAAGAGTTATATTCTCAGAATATTGTCATAAGGACAATATTCTGTAGCACTTCCAAGTAGTTCCTAATTGGTTGATATAGGCCATTATATCAACCAACGAAGACGCGCCACGACAGACGCACGCAATGAGTGGTGAGCAGATAACTGATTTACACATTTGTATTTAGACATAGTTAGATGAAGATAAATAGTGATTTATTGCAGACATTAACTATTATAAATACAGTTCTACTTTTACTCTAACCAAGTACTCGCTTCTTCTTACCGTCTTCCTCTGCACGTACGAGTGTACGTGAAGTTACGAGGCACCGCCTTATTCTGTTATCAGAATAAGTAGCTTGTACTGTCACCAGTACAAGCTTCAGGGGTGCCCCGTTACACCTGGTAGCACTTCGTAGTCCGTCCAAGGACCGCGTTCACATCCAACATGAATATGTTGGATGATGAAGATGACCAAAGCTTTCACGCTACGCGTGACGGCTACTCCCATTTGAGCGATGTCGAATGGGATGCGGTTGAACGAATGGGTTCGACCATGGGCATCCATGCTGTTAGCGTCATGCTAGAGGCTCTCAATAGAGATGCCCAACATGCTACTATCGCCAAGTTCATTCAAAATGAACTTGACGCAGAACGCGAGAAAGTAGCCTTGCTTCACCAACAAGGTTCTCAACAAGCAGAGTTGTTGAGAGAACAAGGTGCTCAACAGTTTGAACTGTTGAGACAGCAGCAGGCTGCTGCTGGCGGGTCGATGCACTCGCGTCGGCCCGAGACTTTGAAGATTGACATCTCAAAGTATAGGGGGTCGAAGAAGACTCCCTCTTGAGATGGTTCGTCGAGGTGGATGACGCCATAAGGGCGCGTCGCATCGACGACGGGGATATGCAAGTTGCATTTGCCCAGTCAAATCTGGCAGGACGTGCCAAGACTTGGGCACTGGGGCTCAAGCTGCACGACCCATATGCGTTTGGGTCGTTGGAAGTCTTCAAGTCGCGGCTCAGACAAACGTTTGAACCGCCTAGAGCTGAGTTCAGAGCTCGAACCGAACTCTTGAAGCTCAAGCAGGGTAAGCGTGATGTGCACGCTTACGCTCAACATATACGACATCTCACGAGTTGTATAAGTTCCAATCCGGTGGATGAACACACGTTGGTTTCGGTGTTCATGCAGGGTCTTGCGGATGGTCCCGTCAAGACTCACCTGTTCCGGCTTGAACTAGATTCACTAGAACAAGCCATTTCAATTGCGGAGCAGGAAGACTTCAGTCTGAGACAGGCTCGCGCCAGCTCGACATCATATCGTCAACCGAGACGATATGACAACGGAGGTCCAGAGCCGATGGAACTCTGTTATGTAGAGAGCGAGAAGGCTCGCTCTACAGGCTACAAGAAGTTGCAGAGATGCAACAGATGTCAAAAGACAGGACACTACGCTTACGAGTGTAGTGCCCCTCGTCCAGTGTCTCGCGACACTGGGCGTAGTGACCGTCCACCCATGAGAAAGGGGCAGGGACGAGGGTCCGCAGTTGGTGCAAAGACGCAACAACAGGATGGACCGTCAAAAAACGGACAGGATCAGTAGGTGCGGAGCACCTACTGATCCAGCAACGTCAAGAGAATTTGTAGGCCTCTTGATGAAGGTTGCTCCCAACACACAGACATTGTGCGTTGCTGCTCTAGGTAATGAGATCTCACTCATTACCTTGAAACTCGAAGTGACGAATAAGTTGTCCCTTCGAGCTCTAGTCGATTGTGGGGCGTCCAACAATTTTTGTGCGACGCCAATCGCTAGAAGATGGTCACTTTAAATTCAGTGAATGTGACACACCTCCTACGAGGATGACGGTACGTCTTGCGACAGGCGCATCCGTAACCGTCATGAAGCGTATAGTGAAGATTCACTATACGCTAGAAGATACCCAATACGACGATGACTTTATCGTATTGGATTTGGATGACAAATTTGATGTCATCCTTGGAATACCGTGGCTCAGAAGGTACGAACCACGGGTAAACTGGCAACATCGGACAGTAACGATGCCTGCCGCTTGTTCATCAGATGGCCATCTGATGAACGTTTTGGAAACGTCCACAAGCGTGTGGATGTACTACGAGTGAGTGCGATGGCCTCACTTGTGGTACGGTCGTTAGTACGACTGCACAAAACCTTAGTGTACCAAACGGTTACACTTCGGAGCAAAGTTCCGGCGGCTGTGAGGAAACACAGGCTGCGCCGAAGGTCCACCACTCGAATAAGTCGGGTGGACTGGGACAAAGATGTATCCCTAGAGGGGAACATCTAGAAGAGAAACAATCGATCGCTCAGGTTAAGCGAAACGATAATCCTAGATCGACTGGAGAGTCTTTCGTAGAGGATCTCGCTGTGGTTGCGCAACCCCAGCTAGAGGAAGTAAAGGGAATAAGTCCCAAGATTACAAATACGGCGGAAATAAGTTCCCCGAAACCCGCGGGAATAAGTCCCCGGGAAGACGAAGGAATAAGTCCTTCGAAGCCTGAGGGAATAAGTCCCCAGGAAATGACAGAGACATTGAATGTCATAGTCAATAACGGATCATGTGTAGGCGCTTATACACTTGATCTGATTGCGCCTCGAAGTTAACTTCGGAGATCACTCAGTTGCCAACGCTCGAACATAAAAGATTCTTGCGTGATCTGCGTAGTGGCAAAGTCAAGCAGATCTGCATACTCGTCGCTGAAGACGAGTATGTAACCGACATAAGGTCAGCAACAGTGTTTACTGAGAACGAGAGAGTTCTCAGTAGTTCATCTATGGACGAGAGTGTCCTAGATGAAAAGACACGAATTGAGCGATATGAGTCCCAATCATGGGAATCGCTCAAGGGAAAATCCTCTCTATGAAGATTTGGTTGAATTCAAGGATGTATTCCCTGAAACTGTTCCGTGCGAATTACCGAAGGATAAAGGTATTCGACACGAAGTCGAGACTTAAACCAGGCTCGAAGTACTGTGTCATGAAGCAGTGGCCACTGCCTCGTGAACAAGTACTTGCGATCGACAAGTTCTTTGCCGATCGTTTAGCAGCAGGCCATGTGAGGGGAATCAACTTCCCCACATAGCTCTCCGACCTTCTGTGTGCGAAAAGCAACAGGAGGGTGGCGGATAGTGCACGCGTTTAACAAATTGAACGCTGCAACGGTACCGGCTCAGACGCCGATACCGAGGAAGGACGTAATCATTGATGGTATGTCAAAGAGTACCATCTTTTCGTCCATGGATTTGATGGATGGCTTCTATCAAATCCTAATGCGGAACGGGATATACCCTATACCGCAGTTAGCACGCCTAGCGGCATGCTCTGGGAATGGCTAGTAATGCCACAAGGGCTCAGTAATGCCCCTGCCACGTTCAACAGGTGTGTATCACATCTGTTGAGGCCAATACGAGAATTCGCGCCGAGTTATTTCGATGACGTATTCATCCATAGTCGAGCTATGGATGGAAAGTCGGACGTTGAGGTTCACAAGTACCACGTCCGACAAGTTCTTACAATCATGCGAAAGCATCAATTGTATGCAAACCTCAAGAAGTGTATATTTGCAGCAAGCGAAATACCACTTCTTGGGTGCATCGTTGGTAAGAACGGTGTACGTCCTGATCCCGAAAAGATCAAGGCGATCACCGACTGGCCCGTGCCGGTCGATGTCAAAGGTCTTCGAAAATTCCTTGGGCTAGCGGCGTATTTGCATAAGTATTCACGCAATTACGCCGAGATGACTGTACACCTCTCTCGTTTGTTGAAAAAGAACGAGAGGTGGTTATGGAACGCTGAATGTCAACGCTCCTTTGAGGGTATCAAGCAGAGCTTGATACAATCCCCAGTCCTAGCAATAGCCGATCAGGACAGGCCATTTCATGTGGTCTGTGATGCCAGCGATTTCGCAATCGGCTGTGCATTAATGCAGTACGACCTTGAAGGCGTTGAACGCGTCGTCTGCTATCAGTCGCGTCAGCTGCAACCAGCTGAGCGGAACTATCCAGTGCATGACAAGGAACTCCTTGCCATGAAGTATGCACTCGCGAAGTTCAGAGTCTATCTATTAGGAGATAGACCCTTCGTTGTTTACACTGACCATGCGTCCTTACGCACGGCAGTGAACAGCCCGCACCTTTCACAACGAATGGCGCGGTGGTTGTCATTCTTTGCAGAATACAACTTTACGGTCGAGTACAAACCAGGACGACTTAATGTCGTCGCTGATGCACTCTCACGTCGTCCCGACTTTGAAACAGTCGCGAAACCCAACAGTGAGACAGTCACTGTTGCGGTTATGACATCCTCAGTCCCATCTACAACGTTGTATGATGATGTGAGGCGGGCATACGCCCAAGATGGCGAGATTGTGAAGTTGTTGACACATCTCTCACAACCATCTCGAGAATCGCTGAAACGATTGTCGTCTGCGTATCGATCTGCATCAGATCGATACACTACTCGCGACGGTTTACTGTATTATACAGCCGTTTCTGGTGACACACCACGTGTTGTCATTCCAGATGATGCTGATCTGCGTTTGCGGATCATGTTCGAGTATCACGATGCTCCTATAGGAGGACATCGTGGCCGGGAGAAAACAAATCTCACGGTGAGTCGAGACTTTTACTGGCCCCGCCAGTATCAGTTTGTGCGAGAGTATGTTCGCGCATGCGAAGTCTGCCAACGAGTGAAGTCAAGTCCTTCACTGCGTGCACCTTTACAGCCTCTACCGGTTCCGGCTGAGTGCTGGGAATCCATCTCAATGGATTTCGTCTTCGGGTTACCCAAAGACGCACGCGGGAATACGGGTATTCTCGTATTTGTTGACAGATTCAGCAAAATGGTACACCTTGTGGCTGTACCCGAGACAATCACGGCAAGTGGCTGTGCTTGTGTCTTTATTGACACCATCTTCCGACTTCATGGGTTGCCCCGTGAACTCGTATCAGACAGAGATCCACGATTCACTGCTGATTTCTGGCGTTCCGTGTTCAAATCACTCGGAACGCGCTTGAAGATGTCGACATCTGATCATCCAGAGTCAGATGGTCAGACGGAACGTGCCAATCTTGTCCTTGAAGAGATACTTCGAGGATACGTACACTCCTTTAAGAGTTGGAGTGAGTTTTTGCCGATGGTAGAGTTTGCCATCAACAACTCGGTGCATGCGTCCACGACACATACACCGTTTTACGTGAATGGCTTGCGCCATCCGCGTGTACCCACCTTACTCGAGTGTAACTCTGGTTTAAGGGGGGGAGGGACTCGCGCGAGCAAAAACCGATTTGGTTCACGCTCATCACGCTCTGACGAAGAAGTCATTGCGTTTGATGCCGATATCGATAACATCGATATCGAAGAAGATGATGCCAGTGAGAGTGCGGAAGCCCTCACTGAAGACAATGATCCCAGTGAGAGTGCGGAAGCCCTCACTGAAGAAAAGGTTGTTGTCGCTGCAGTGCGCTCACAGCACACTGAAGCTAACGAGTCATCAGATGAGTTCATACTGGCTCGTGAAACGGTAGTCCGTTTTGTGCAAGACTCCATCGCCGAAGCGGTGGATAAGCAAAAGCAAAACGCTGACAAGAATGGAAGGGCAAACACTCTTTTATTTAATAAAGGTGACTTAGTCCTACTGTCTACGGTTAATCTACCAAAGCATGTAGTGACTAACTTGGGTAGCAGTAAACTACTACCCAAGTACATTGGCCCATTTCGTGTATTGCACCGCCTAGGCAATGCATACACGATCGAGGTTACCACGTAAGATGCGAACGCATCCCACGTTTTACGTTGGTCGGCTTAAGCCGTACCATCAGTACGCTGCTTCTTCCGATGAAGAACGCCCTTGCGCTCAAGCATCTCGCAGAGAGCCTTGTGCTCCCGATGGTGGGCATCAACAAGGGTCTGAAGAGCAGTTATCTCAGCCCGAGACCGATCAACAATCCCACGAGCTACCCTTAGCTCGTCACGAAGAGATGTCAGAGATCTCTCGTTCTCAAGCTGAGCAAAGGCAAACTCAGCTCGATGCTTCGAGGCAGTGTCCACCATCTGGAGACGCCTGTCCCGCTCATGCTCGAGATCGTTGCGTAACCCTTGCGTTACGCGATCAAAGAAGCTCTCGGGAACACATGGATCCCCACGATCGTGTGGAGAGCGTCTTTCCTCCTTCTCCACCTCCATTAGAGGACTCTCGCGGTGGCCAGCGCTATCTAGTTGAGCAGCTGTTGAACCACCGCGACGTGAACGGACGTCGGACGAGTTATCTCGTCTGGTGGCGCGGCTATCCCCCGTCCTGGGATTCTTGGGAGCCCCGCTCCCAATTGATGGTTGACGTACTGGGTCTGGTCGAGCAGTACGACGCGACACATCCTGTGCCGCAGAAGGACCGCCGGAGAAAGTCTTCCCGGCACGGTCGTAAAGGGATTTCAGGTTGTCAATCCCTTCGTACATCTCAGTAGAGACACGTACGCGCCACCACGGGCTGGTAAGGAGGTAAGCCTCCTTAGGTGCTCGTGCAGAGTTGTTCACACAACATGGGCACGAGTCTCCCCAAGAGAGGCAGGGTAATCCTTTCTCCCTTGACAGACGATGCAGCTTATAGCGTGCACCTGTCGGGGTTCGCTTTTCAAACTTATCACGAGCTTTGATAAGTTTGTCGTTCCAAGCGTCACGACCTACATCCTCGAGATTATGGATGTAGGCGTTCCACGCCTGAAGTAGTGAGGGACCATCACGTTTGTGATTCCCACTGTACCATCGATGTCTGAAGAAAGCATCGATGAAGAACTCATGTTCAGCGCGATAGTCTTTCGCGCTGGGGTCAAGGTGATGAATCCTTGACGAATCGAACAATCGTGTTCGATAACGATCACTCGTCGTCGCCGACAAGTGATCCATGACAGATTTAGGAGGCATCCATGCCTTCTTTTCTGGAGCGAGACGCAACACATTGCGGTCCCGCTCTTCCTGCGACGTGCCGACAGAAGTACTGGCACCTCGCTGTGAAGTGGTGTCCATTGGAGAAACGACACCACTATTAGCGCCCGAGTCTCGCGACCTCGAGCGCCTTCGCTTCGGCGATGGTTCATCTGACTCATCAGATGAACCAAAGATGCTGCGACGCAAAGCATCGTCCATGCCACGCTTGGCAGGCGGCTTGGATTCAATTGCCGTCGATACGGATCCGTCATCCGTATCAGGAGAGTACGAGACACCGAGCTCGTACTCTGTGAAGACACGAGTGTCTTCATGACCAGCGCCTGCATCACCAGGTGATACAGGCTGAGTCGATTCAGCAACCGATGGGACATCAGTTGCTGTAGTTTCTGCTTCGGCGTCCGCACAGAGACGTGCAGACGCGCTCTCGGCGGCCTTGCTCGCGCATCGCATGGGCTTGTTTACCATGCGATGAAATGTTGGAAAGTGGACGCGGACCAACAAGTGCAAACCCCGTCCCAAATGATTTGGGACGAGTATCCATTTAGTCAATCAGTCACTAAAGTGACTGAAGGTTAAGGGGGGGATGTAACGGGGTGAATCGTGACATAACAATTTATAAGAAATTGTTAATAGAATATAACTATAAGAGTTATATTCTCAGAATATTGTCATAAGGACAAATATTCTGTAGCACTTACGAGTAGTTCCTAATTGGTTGATATAGGCCATTATATCAACCAACGAAGACGCGCCACGACAGACGCACGTAATGAGTGGTGAGCAGATATTTGATTTACACATTTGTATTTAGACATAGATAGATGAAGATAAATAGTGATTTATTGCAGACATTAACTATTATAAATACAGTTCTACTTTTTACTCTAACCAAGTACTCGCTTCTTCTTACAGTCTTCCTCTGCACGTACGAGTGTACGTGAAGTTACGAGGCACCGCCTTATTCTGTTATCAGAATAAGTAGCTTGTACTGTCACCAGTACAAGCTTCAGGGTGCCCCGTTACACTTCGAGTTTCAAGGTAATGAGTGAGACCTCATTACCTAGAGCAGCAACGCACAACGTTTGTTTGTTGGAAGCAACCTTCATCAAGAGGCCTACAAATTCTCTTGACGTTGCTGGATCAGTAGGGTGCTCCGCACCAACTGATCCTGTCCGTTTTTTGACGGTCCATCCCGTTGTTGCGTTTTTGCACCAACTGCGGACCCTCGTATCTGCCCCTTTCTCATGGGTGGACGGTCACTACGCCCAGTATCGCGAGACACTGGACGAGGGGAACTACACTCGTAAGCGTAGAGTCCTGTCTTTTGACATCTGTTGCATCTCTGCAACTTCTTGTAGCCTGTAGAGCAAGCCTTCTCGCTCTCTACATAACAGAGTCCCATGGCTCTGGACCTCCGTTGTCATATCGTCTCGGTTGACGATATGATGTCGAGATGGCTCATTCCTGTCTCAGACTGAAGTCTTCCTGCTCCGCAATGGAAATGGCTTGTTCTAGTGAATCTAGTTCAAGCCGGAACAGGTGAGTCTTGACGGGACCATCCGCAAGACCCTGCATGAACACCGAAACCAACGTGTGTTCATCCACCGGATTGGAACTTATACAACTCGTGAGATGTCGTATATGTTGAGCGTAAGCGTGCACATCACGCTTACCCTGCTTGAGCTTCAAGAGTTCGGTTCGAGCCCTGAACTCAGCTCTAGGCGGTTCAAACGTTTGTCTGAGCCGCGACTTGAAGACTTCCAACGACCCAAACGCATATGGGTCGTGCAACTTGAGACCCAGTGCCCAAGTCTTGGCACGTCCTGCCAGATTTGACTGGGCAAATGCAACTTGCATATCCCCGTCGTCGATGCGACTCGCCCTTATGGCGTCATCCAATTCGACGACCCTCTCAAGAGGGAGTCCTCTTCGACTCCCCTATACTTTGAGATGTCAATCTTCAAAGTCTCGGGCCGACGCGAGTGCATCGACCCGCCAGCAGCAGCCTGCTGCTGTCTCAACAGTTCAAACTGTTGAGCACCTTGTTCTCTCAACAACTCTGCTTGTTGAGAACCTTGTTGGTGAAGCAAGGCTACTTTCTCGCGTTCTGCGTCAAGTTCATTTTGAATGAACTTGGCGATAGTAGCATGTTGGGCATCTCTATTGAGAGCCTCTAGCATGACGCTAACAGCATGGATGCCCATGGTCGAACCCATTCGTTCAACCGCATCCCATTCGACATCGCTCAAAATGGGAGTAGCCGTCACGCGTAGCGTGAAAGCTTTGGTCATCTTCATCATCCAACATATTCATGTTGGATGTGAACGCGGTCCTTGGACGGACTACGAAGTGCTACCAGGTGTAACGGGGCACCCTGAAGCTTGTACTGGTGACAGTACAAGCTACTTATTCTGATAACAGAATAAGGCGGTGCCTCGTAACTTCACGTACACTCGTACGTGCAGAGGAAGACGGTAAGAAGAAGCGAGTACTTGGTTAGAGTAAAAAGTAGAACTGTATTTATAATAGTTAATGTCTGCAATAAATCACTATTTATCTTCATCTAACTATGTCTAAATACAAATGTGTAAATCAATTATCTGCTCACCACTCATTGCGTGCGTCTGTCGTGGCGCGTCTTCGTTGGTTGATATAATGGCCTATATCAACCAATTAGGAACTACTTGGAAGTGCTACAGAATATTTGTCCTTATGACAATATTCTGAGAATATAACTCTTATAGTTATATTCTATTAACAATTTCTTATAAATTGTTATGTAACGATTCACCCCGTTACAAATAAGGTTAGCGCAAACGTGATCGCGAATGTCGATTCACTCGCAAAGCTGGTCGACTTCTGAAGCGTGAGCTAGTTCTCTGGAACTGGCTTCGAGGTGGACGACCGTTCGAGTGCGTACGCAAAGCTGGACGAGCTTGCATACGAACATTAATTACACTGTTATAATTCACGAGCCATGTTCGCTCGTCATTTGTCAATGGATGACTCCTCAAAATCGTGTCCCACTCAGCGCAGTAAGGCCACGCTTCCCGACCAGCTTCACTGTGCCGACTTCCTACTCAAAAGTAGACAAATCAGCAGCGGCGTCCTAAATTCCATGACATTATACAGACTGTGTCATATGGATCCGATAGACCGCGATTTCGACACTCAGTCTATTTTTTGCGCTGTACGATAAACGAAGTTAGCGTCGGTTTTTCAATGACGCACGAAGAAAGTCCACTGTTTGTCGAGCGATGCTCGTGTCAGAACAAATTTCGTCGTGACTGGTCTTCCATGTGCTCGCCGCCAGCGTCGCCACAACTCGCACCTCTTGTCGTCGCTTCTCGTGCTCTGGAAATTTCTGTAGTCAAACAGCTTCAAGATGCGAAAGCGTTTAAGTAAAGCTGCGCGCGTGTGAACGCCGCTTGAGAGTGCGGCGTCATGTTAAACACGAGTTCGTCGTCCGCCTGTTTGTTTTGACCGCTGCTAGTGTCACAAGGATGTTGTGGATCTCCTTGTTGTTGGTCTTCAGCTATCTCTTTGCACAGGTGTGTCCTATTTAAGATCGGGGGGGGTAGTAAAACGGGTGTTACCGTTACACGTTACTAATAGCGTGTTTGTAACTGTTTTTGGGAAAGTAGCCTTACATAGGTATACACTGCACCCGAGATAGCTGGTGCAGTGCGTCGTATTTCAATTGCGCGAATAAGTGGTTACAGACCCATCCTTAGCCAATAGAATGCGGTGTTCTATTGAGTGGCTCTTGTGATTCTAGAGGCCACTTGTACAAAGGATAATTTTAGGACAAAAACTGTTAATGTAAAAGCAGAGTTAAAATTGATTGAAATTCAGCCCACGTTGACACGTAAGACCGTCTGGTGTAAGTAAGAAACGGGGGCTCTCGCTTCGTTACAAAAAGGGGGGGTACGGTTCAAGGAAGAATGAAGGCTTCCAAGCAAAGGCTTCATCTGCAACCAATTCGGGCATTGCAAGCGTAATTGCCCCCATTGAAACCGCATTGGTAACGGGGTACCGTAGTTGCCGTGGGTGGTCGATCAGCCGGTTGGTTGATTGTTAGTGGTGCGACGGCACACATGTCACTAAATCACGAAGCGGTGGGTACGAGACATTTGCGAGCGACATTTAAGTTACCGTTGCGAATGACACGAAAATTTGCGTTGTCGTAAAGGGTAAATTTTCTTGAGGTACACTGAAGGCAAACAGATAAATTTATCGGAAGCTCTGCACATTCCAGGTTTGCACCGACAATTGCTGTCCGTCGGTAAATTGGCTGACCGGGGTATGAATTTTGAATTTCCATCAAAATTCAGGGGTTACTTAAAACAGGTCCAAGGCAGTGGCATCCGTACAGAGAATTGGCAAGACATATGTGCTGGAATGTCACTAAGATATGGCACAGTACGTGAAGTATGCTTAGGTAAGAAATGAGTGGGAGCTATAGCATGCTCGGATGGGGCCTTTAAGCGAAGAAGTGCAGATGAAAACGCAACTAGCAGTAGCGTAAATACCGATGATTAAGACAAATAAGGTCAAGAATTTGTGCGGTGGCTGTATGTAAGGAACGCTGACGGTAAAGAGATCTCCATCGCAATTCCAAAAACGCACATCAATTGTTATGGAGCTTGTGCACACGGACGTTATGGGCTTAATGAAGACAAAGTTCAAAGTTGATGCTACGTACGTGCTCACTTTGTGGACGACCTCTCTCAGTTGATGTGGCGTCCTTTTTTTTTTTAAGGCGAAGACAGAAGTACTGTTGAAGTTTAAGGATTTCAAGACGTGGACGAAAGACAGCGGAATGCCAGGATCAAATGCCTTCGCTCGGACAACGGATCATAATACGTGATCAAGAAAATTATATTCCTGTACAACCAGTAAATTTGTACACCAGAATACAGCCCAAAGGATAATGACGTGGAAGAACAGGCCAATTTGACAAATGGAGTAAGCAAGATCAATGATGCATTTTAAGGGTTTTTCGATGGATTGGTGGGCAGAAGTGGTCAACACGACAGTGTATCTAATGAAAAGATCGAACGGCAGTTCACCCAGGTACAACACCTTATGAAATGGGTTTTGGGGTGAAGCCGTGTATGGAACAACTGCGCGTGTTCGGGACGATATGTTATGCACACGTGGACAAGATTAAGCGTACCAAGTTGTACCCGAAAGGATTTCTAAGGTTTGTTCCTTGGGTACGCGAAGCATACTAAAGGGTACAGTGCATACGAATCGGACGCATACAAGCTGCAAGTTGTACGGTCGGTAAAGCTTAAAGAACGAAAATCCAACGAAATATACGACACACAGATATCGAAAAACAAGACGATCATTTAGGTCATCGAAGATAACAATAACACGATCGATCCCGAGAACGGAGAGATACCGGCTTAAGGTGAGACAATGAAGTTTTTGGATGTAGTAGAGCTACTTAGCGCTCCTTAATAGAGGAAGTTTTGTACTTAAAGAGTCTCTTAGTTATAACAAAGTAACAACGACGTACAGTCATTCAAGCGTACAAGCTTTACAATTCCGGTACCAAAGGGATTCCGATTCACAGAATCACACACAAACTAGTCACTATTAGTTAAACAAGAGTAAACACCCTAGCAAGGCTACTGCTCTTATAAAACACTAAGGTTTGACTAGGCACATGTGTCCAGCGATTCAAAAGGGGAAATGAACTTTCTTTACTCTTTAACCACGGTAATAAACCCTAAAACCTTGTCTGACTGACTTCTACATTGCGACTCTGTGACAGAAGTCTTGTCCCTTATCCCTACCAGATAAGGTGAGGCATTACGGTAAGTACATTGTCCCTCATCCCTACCCGATAAAGTTAAGTTTTGCGGTAAGTACGTGGTACTAAGACAGTACCACTCAGATCCACCGATCTTTGCTTGGTGTGGACACACAGCATGACCGGTTTAATAACCGTGTGCAATTTCGTTACACCGTACGATTACTGCTGATGCGCAATGCATGGCACTAAGTTTATGTAAGTAGGGGTTCGCTGGGTACGACCGATGCTCAAGGACCTGGGATAAAAGCAAGTGGGGTTACCAAAATTTCGGACGACAGACAAGGAGCGATCGCATTGGCAAGCAACGTCAAATACAACGCGCGTACAAAGCATATCGACATTCGCGATTATTTCATCCGAGAAAATGTCGTGAATGATACAGTATCAGATAAGTACATCAAGACAGAAAATTAAGTGGCAGACATGCTGAAGAAGGCTTTAAGAACCAAAAGACTCAAGTTTATGTGCGAAGCAAGTGGAGACAAGTTTGTTAACACATCGCAAATAGCTGTGAGTGGAAGTGTTGACAAGATACACCGTTATATGTATGGATGCGTGTTTATTGGATATTTGTAATCGGGGTGTGACTCACTTTCGTGAGAACGTAAGGTAAGCATATACGACGTACAGCTGTCATCTGGTAAGTTGATTACCAGGAGATTACCAGGTAGTGATAAGGACGTTGGGACGTCAATGTTTATTCATTAATGAAAACACATCGTTTATATAGTCCTTAGGTGTAACATGGTTAGCATGAGAACTGAGGACCCCAATCAATAAATGACTTTGGTATGTGCCTATAAACTCAACAGTGTCGTTCCAACTAGATAAAGCAGTATTATGGGTAATTGGTGCGCTTCTTTTATGCGTCAATGTTCTTTAAGGCTCGAATTATTGTTCATTCGCCAGCCCTTATTTTAGCACACACAAATTAAGACTAATGTAAAGCCGGTACAATTTAAGCGTAGAAATGCAGAAACATACGTTATTTTAGGCAAACACATACCTTTTTTTAAACCTCCCTCTTTAAGGTGCATATCACTCATCAGCACTGTGACCGCCGCTGATAGTGTCGCCATGATTAGTAATATTCGGACTTACGGCGGTATGCTCTAAAAATTTAACATTTTTGATATCATCCGATAATTTTGGCATCTACATGTACCATCTTACATAATCTTTGATTGAATGAATCAGAAGGCTATCCGGAGCTGTTCATGACTAGCCGGTACATTCATACCTGACGCGCTTGACATGAGCGGTGCAACTGCAATACATACCATAACTGATATCTCCAAGGAGTCTTTTGCCGTACTACACTTGGCTATTAGTATCGACTATCCACTTTTTACTTCTGTGGAATGCAGAGCGACCATGAGCTTTGATCGCTCAACTGAGCGTGAAATATATACATCTTATCCGCTTGACTTCTAAGTGCGTCGTGGGCATAGCAGGAGCGGTGATATTTGTCCTCGAGAGCTTGGGAAACTCGTTGTCAATTCCTCCTTCTCTTTGAATTCCGGAGAAAGAAAATCCCAGTACATTTTCCACATCTGCCCGTTCTGTCGTTATGCTTATAAGCCTCTTTTCGTCTCGAACGAAATTCGAGTCTGGATAGACGATCCCATAAAATTATGCGTGAGACGTAAACTGTCAGAACTGCATTACGGCAGTGCAACAACAGGAGTCTCACTCAACTTATTTCTAAGTAAATTGCTCCGTTGCGAGCCTGTCAACGCAAGTTGCCCACGCACGCGCACTGATAAGACAAGCATTACTTTAACCGAGAGCTACTTATACGCTTATACGTCGTCATTTGTTTATCGTGTGCAGCACCGGCCGCAGGCTTCGTATTCCGTATCGGGTGACTCACGGAACCTAAATGCTCACATTTACCTAAAGACGTAGACACCCCTTGTACTCACGACATAATGACGCTGCGTATTATCAAAATGACTAGTACATAGATCCCAGTTTACATCGCAGCCAGCTCTTTTTTCCTCTTGACACCGTGACTCCAGCAGTACCCGCCGGTCTTGGGACCTTTGTTGCATCCTTCGACCTTGCAGAGGCGCTTGCCCCCATGCCTCCAGCACACACCAGCTTTTCGAGATGCACTAAAACATCCGTCTACTGCGCAGCGCTTGCCTCCACCGTGATGGATGCATAGTCCGTGGCTTAGTGCGTGTTTCGTACAGTCGGCATCCAAGCAGCGCAGGCCACCCCCATGGGCGATGCAAAAGCCGCCAGTTTTGGCACGCTTGTTGCACTCTGTCTTGCCACAAAGCTTGGCGGTGATGACGCGCTTGTTCAAACGGTGAAGCGCGAGCACAATTGTTCTTGTCGGCTGCTCAGCCAGCTGCTGGATGACAGCAGTATCGCTTTGGATATTGTTGAGCTGCAGTTCTGCCGATTGCAACGACGCAGTTGTGAGATCTCGATATTTCTCCCGCTGATTTACACAGGACTTATTCACAAAGCTGCTTGTGCTCTTGGAATGCTTTGTCGATGTGGTCATGGGGACGCTGCTTGTACTCTTGGGAAGTGCGTCACGGTTGACCATAAAGTTGATAGTCGGCAGACGTGCACGACCGTTATCGTTGAATGGTGACGTACAACCGTACATGATCATGAAATGAGGCGACGATTCGATGTTGCTGGTCATGCAGGGACAATTACAAGATACCAATGTCTTACTGGACAGACTTGGTAGATACGGAAGGGTAATGTTCTTAGTGGGCAAGTCAGTATAGATAGACGAAGTTACGTGCCTATACAAAAGGTCACGACTGCACTGCAGAGGCGCGGAAACGGTCTCCATGCTCACAGTATGTTTATAGTCGTCTACAATGCGCTGGTAATGGTGGAATGGCAAAAAAGCAATTGTCAAGTGATTATTTGAGCAGCTATTTGGAAAGCACAACGTATCCAGACGAAGACTTCAAATTGAACTTGGTCCTCCACCACGAATGTAACGTGGTATCCGCACCAAGTTCAACAACGTACTGATTATGGTAGTCAAACTGGCCGGCAAGGTGCCATGATTTCTTCTGAATTGCTGCGATGGCAAGTATAAAATTAATGACTAGCAGGATTGCGGTAGAGTTGCAGTCTACTTCTATGTGCTAGCTAGCGTGCACAACGCTACAATAGAGTCTTTGCTCGTGTGGTTTGAAACGTAACAATCCGGACGTATCGAAGAGCCACACGGACACGAACGATAGAAGATCACGTCAGGCACGCTGACGCTGTACACTTAATTACCTTCGCGTTAACTATGTTCTTTTTTGCACATTGTGGTCGTCGAGCTTACATAGCTTGACGGTGGAGACGAAAGCTGTCATACCCTTGATCATCGAGGAGATCGAGAGGTCGACTCAACTTTTCAGAGGTAAGAGAGCAAGTTTTTGACGATATAAATACGGTTCACCGTTCCGGTACCAAATAAATCAGGATAGGTCAGTCCGACAGACTGCAAAATTTAATCACGGCAGATTTTAAAACCGAAAGAGAGAGAGCGAGTAAACTGACAAATTTAGCGCTAACAAGGCGCCTCCTAGAACGCGTCCATACAGCTAATATTGGCTGCGAGACGTGATGCGGGCGACGTGGCAGTCGGTGGACGTGAATCATATGTTTTCCTTTTCAAGAAAGTTCAAAGTCAGCGTTGGTGCCTGGACTTCTATCGCCCAAGATTTGGCCTACAAGCTGGCTCTGATGCTACACCGATACTCTTCAAAGTACGTCTGCTTATACATGTCGGCACCATAATCAGGATCACGTAGTAGTTTAGTCGTGCCATTGGTATTAACACCGTACGATAGCACACACCCGCCGTAGGTGCCCGTACGCGATGCCGGCCTTGTATTGTATTATTATTCTTAGTGCCGTATTGACGGTAGCCTTTTTCGGGCATTTTGCATCGGTCGAGCTGCAAACACGGGCAAATCTCACCGCACTGTCAAACTGGCTTATGCTGCAACTTTGGGCAGACGTCGAATGGAGCACACATATTGTCGTTACTCAAGCTACGGGCAAATCTGAGCGAAGAGGGATACATATACTGCGGCTGTCATTTCATACGGGAGTAATACATGCAGTGTCGCCCTCCTTCAAGGTCAGCTATGATCAGTTGATATTGAAGTTACAATCCGTTTAAGCGACTTGCACGCGATTTAATTCGTCCGGGTCTCGTACCGGAACACATGAATGAGCCAAACTTTTTCTCATTGCATGTCCGGACGAAATGTTATGTGTGTATCAAGGTAGAAATTCAAAGTGCACATTCTATAAATTGCATGCATGGGCCGTCAATAAGCACTGCCTGAGTAGATGCGAAGGTTGTCCGCGAGCCTTTAGCAGCTTTTTCTATAATCCTCCGGATAATGCACTTGGTCTAGTGTACGAAACGGTGCCTATGATTGTTGTCGAGGTCTTGACTATCATCGATACCAATGTTTTCCATGAAATTGAAATGCACTACATTTGTGAATTACGACGTGTAATCATCATATCTTCGTGAATAAAATTGCAGGTTGCGTCACCGTGTCCAATATGGCACGGTTTAAACAACGTCGGGAGCGTTAAACGGCGGGGCAAGTTTTGCCTACCAAATGTTGTCTTTTCGTCTCAACATTACCCTCGCATGTACGAATCATAGAAAATTGCAAGACTGTCTTTGATCTCAAAACGCTCGACACGAGCGTACGAACACAATCCAATACTTCGTCTCGCCGTCTCTACGTTTGATTGATACGACCCAGTTTAGCTTTTTGTAAAAGCCACGAATCAAGACACCGACATTAGTGATGGAGACGTAGACGTTTATCGACATACTTGATTGGGCAGAAGCTACCAAGTCATGAGCTTATTATAAGATCGTGTTTGGGCGTCGCTTTCATCGAGATTCACGCTGAACGACCTGCTGACGTGCCTTAAGATTTCACTCATGTATTAATAGTAACGACAGGAGTCATTCGTACGTAGAATACCATAATCGATAAAACAAGTCGCGATGGGACGGAAACACGTTGTCTATGTTGTTGACGGATCGCTCTGATGAATAAGAATAAGCTTTGTATCTCATCCGTTGCATTTACTGCTACGAGACCTGGTGTTATAATCTATTTATTATCTCGTCTTTGAATGGCAACCGCCCATCCAGCGTAGAATACGGCAACTAGCAACTGCGGTATAGCTGATTGCAAGCGGCAAAAGTGTTCGTCAATGAATTTTAGCTGACCTTAAATTTGTGTCGCCATGTTCAAATAAGCTACCGGTTTGTGGTTCAATCGCTGCTTCTTGCTTTGCTTTCAAAACTTCCTGAAATGCTTATGAACATACATAGGCTTCACTCGCAATTATAACGAAACTGTTAATAAAATGGAGCGTCGTTTCTCGATATGTAACGTCTGTGATATTGCTGGTGTCGAATACGTATAATTTGTGTCTTTTGTAATTATAGTATTTATTAAATTATACTGTTTCTTTCACCGCTGTCGTTTTAACATTATACTTATTGTTGTAAAAACTTATCAGGCATCCCCACAAACAATCTAGTTGTTACACGTTCTGTTCAGATTTGTATGGTTGCTTGAACAATAGGCTGCATATTTGCTGTATCTTGACCCATGACGCTTGCACTGATGGCAGGGTTGTATCTATGCTGATGGCAGTGCAAGACATCTACACTGATGAAGGTACCGTCAGATGGCCGACAGCTTTCGTGCACAAAGGAGAAGAGTAAACAGTACTTAGTAAATGATAGAGTATATTAAAAAAAGAGAAAAACCGAAAATTTTAGTCTCGCTGGTTTTTTGTGAGAAGGATGGTATTGGGCTTGCAGAGGAGCCGCGGTTGGTGTGGTTTAGACGAGTTCAATAAAAAATCAAAAAAATTAGTAGCTATAAAAGCAATTTTAAAATTTAATGGCTTGTCTGTGCCATAATGTAAATCTAAACAAGTGCCTCGTTTTATAAACAAGTATGTAGCCTAAAAGTAATTACAACTTAAATTTTTTAGGCTCGAATAGAAAGGTAACAGGTACCTAGAATATCGACTAATACTACTTGAATCTCACGCAATTTCAAGCCAAAGACGGGCAAAGCAAAACGGGAAGAATCGCAAAAAATTGCATCCTGCGATGCGTGCGTCAGATACATATACACTATTATTACGTACGTCCACATAATTTGCAGTGTCCCATAATGACAGCTTCACAAGCACTGTGTGAGATCTACCATTAGCTTAAACTGGATTTTTTTTTGTGTAGCACGGTCGTGTTTGTCGGTATTTGAAGCATAATATCTACACTGGTTCTTTAAACTTCTCCGATATGGTTTAGTTTCGGCCAAAATATGCCGCTCTTTCTGCCGATTTATTAATGGTATTATACACGCCCACTTTAAAAATCTATCTAGAGGACTTCCTTAATATTAGCTCTCGAATCGTACCGGGTTCGTAAAGCTGAAAGATACATCAACTAAGGCTACCGTTCTATGACCTCGTCGAGCAGACTTACGTCGTTCACTTCGACGTTGGTGTTGCAATATGGTGGCTCTTGTGCAGATCCTGGAGAAAGGTGATTACACGTAGGTTATGTCCATTTTTTGTAGTCTCTTGTCTAAAAGTGGCTCTCTAAACGGCTGGGTGCAATGTGTTTCTCTCTTCTCAAATTCATCCTCAAAAAATTGAAGCAGGATAAATTCCCGTTTTGCCCAATTTTACAGATATCAAAGATTCATTCTTTTATTTTAAAGACGTGTGTAGCTAACTTTGAGACTTCCATACTGTCACAGTCTTCTGTCAGAAAAGACGTTTGACGAAACTAAATGATCAATGTCACGGCCTTTTAAAAGAAGCCAATATATTTCAATCAGCCGATGAAGCGAGGGTGTAAACAAATCGAAAGATATGGCAAGGTATTTTCATCGAAGGAGTTTGTAGAAAGAGAAAATTCCTTAAGGCTACCACTTTGCATTATAAGCGAAAAGCGTATATATTAAATTTTCTTTACATGCCCTGCAGAATCTGAGGGTCGTGTGAGGCAAGTCATACCGATGACGTCAGTCGATTTTCTAAAGAGCCAAACGATAACTTGCATAATCTTAAAATACGTTCTTTTTTAAAATGTTGTTATTTGAAATATTCGGATTAGTAGAAGGAGCTATCTCCATATCTGAAACGAGTTCCCTTCGAGTAAATTAGGATATCGTGCTTCGTTTACACGATCCTGGAAATTCCAAGTGTTAAATAGAACGATAGATAAATTCAAATTTTTTTAAATATTAGCAATTACAAAGCAAATGTCTTTAGTAATGCTACATGATTGTTAATAGGGCTAGTCAAATTGCCTGGTTGGTGGTAAGTGAAGGTCCAAAAATTTTTTACATCGTAACAAAGTATTTGCGTCGAATAATGTTAGCAATCAACATTCAGTTTGTACAGCGTCAGACAAAATGTTCGAATTTCGAGATTATTCTATATGTTAGCTATAGATGCTAGACAAAGATCGATACCTAACAGTGTTCTTGCCACACTCTTCCTGAAACATGTACTTTACATGTTCGTCAGATTTTTTTAGTCTTGGGGTAGTGAAGTGCACAACTAGATTTTTCAGAATGACGCGCGGGCTTGTCCGTGGTTACCTTTTAATCCGTCCTTGTCCACCACACGGATGTGGTACAGATATGAAGCCGTATGTTGAAAGATGTGCGTAGGCATTTAAAACATAAAAAGATAGATTGGCAATAAGTCTATGGATAGTCCAAAGTACCTTAATCTTTTTGAGAATCAATCATCACATTTAAAGAGAAACAATGTCTCCAATTTTTTACACTATTCGAACATCTAAGCAGGATCAACACTCCTTCTGTAATAATAAAACACCTAATAAACCCAAGTACTGAGGTCGACCGCCGCTGCGACCCAAAGGTGATTTCTGATGATGTTTTATCCACTTAATAGGTCATCACCATCTACGTCAAAGATCTCAGGAAAAGGCAACAAAATCTTACCGATCAAATGACAACGCCTGTATAGCCAATTGCATTTTACAAGAAAAGACACAAGGTCGAAAAGAGCTTAATTCGAGATAAAAAAGATGAAAAGTTATGTGAGCAAACTCTTTCTAGAGGGTTCAGATCGAATGATATCTTTTTACATAGTGATATGCATGGTGCAGATTGCAAAGGGATTATGCCCAACGCAGCTGCAATAAATCCTTATACTTGCGCCTCCCTATTAAATTTCCGGGAAGAGTGGCATATTCAGTAAATCCACTTTGACCACTCATTTCTATAATCCGAAGTACAAACCATGTATTTATCCTTCTATCCTGAAAGAACGAAAGCGTTGTTACGGTATCGCGAGAGATGATTCATGGGTCTCTACGAGTCCGATCCCTGTCGCGAAGTTCTTAAAACGAGGCGCAGCCAAAGGCTTCATCAAGATGACGGCCATCGTGTCACGGGTGCGCAGGTAGGCTGGGAGCAAATAAACCCCCCAAATTTTAGGCCACACACAAACTTAAATTAAATGTCTTCATGCTTCTATTTGGCGATGGACGTTCCCTTAGAACTTATTCGATCACAGCCTGATTGTTCAATGACATACGCATAGGAAGACGCACTTCTAGCCCGATCTAATCACGCATTAGCATAATTCCTATAAAATGTTTGCACCAGTTGCAGCTGCTACGTACTCATATTAAGCAGTAGAAGGATCCACTCAACCTTATTTCCTCAATTTATATGTGCTAAACATCCCAATTAATTTGTTTGAAACACCGCTGACAGAATTCCGATGAAATTTGTATTCTGCGAAGCCAGCATCCGTCACACTCTCGAAGTTTATTGTTGCACTTTCGTGCTGTCAAGGATTCGTACGCGGTTCAAACAAAGCTTTTAATCTCTATAAGCGCAAATTTTTTCCGCAAAGTTAAGATCATCCACAACACAATAAAAGCATGTGCGAGAAGGGTTGCGCGTTGCACTGCGCACGCGATATCTGGTCTCGTGCATCGCGCAATCCAAAGCGAACTCCCCACCAAAGATTGGATCAAATTCATTGTCGGGTGATCTGAAAAATCTAGTTCAACTTCAGTATATTTAGACTATTCATCTTCGGAAGTATGATCTTCTCCTCTTTTTTGGACCCTCACACTGTTTGCTTTATCCAATTTGTACTTTAGAAGTAGTCCTAATTGCGAAGGAGCTTAACAAAAAAAGTGTCCATCTTATGCATTGTTTGTGACGCCCATGCCAATAAATCTTTCACCCGGTTCCAGGTCCTCTAGCTCCAAGCTGCTCTATTTGTGTTAATCGCGTTTATAAAAGCAGGATTGATGGCAGTTATAAAAAGTTCATTCACATAAACGCTGAAAAGGGTGTAATCGGAGACCGTGATTATGTAAGATATATATGAATTCGTCAAGCTTTGATCAAATTTAAGTTCAGCGAGATTGATATTAAAAGCTCGTGCCATAGGTATCCTAACTGATGTAGGTCGCATAAAATACGGTCCAGCCGTAGGGCCACCTGCTCACTAAGTGTCACGCTAATGTCCTGCAACTCAACATGATTGAAATATAGGCCTTGTAAACCGTAGATTTAAAGATTGCACCTTTACCTACCTCGGCCTTCATACAGATTCACAGCACATCAAAGTGATGAGCTGGTACGCTTAATATTACAGCCATGGCGGGAAATAACTTGGCGCTTATCAAATCCATAACCGCCGCAAGTGCAGGGTGTAGTCTTGACTCAAAGCTAATTAATTTTCACGTGCTCTTTAGCAAGATTTGTAGCACTCGATGAAGCCATTCAAAGTGCACTTCTTTTTGTGAATTCACTCGATCTGGAACCTGTTCATACCACGTTCAAGCTTTACTGGAGTTCACGTCTTGTTTTTTAAGCAGCGAGGTAAGTTCTTCTGCGTGCACTTTTTCAGCGTATCAGCAACTGGGCTTCCAAAGGCTTCTGCGTAATAATTTGGGTTCTTTAAGGATGCAAATTGACAGTTTGCAATAGGGTTTAATTTCTCAATTGCTGCACGAGTGTCAAAAGTAGACATGTTGTAATAATGTGACTGCGCATAAGGGTCAATCTCCGTCTGTCGAGTCGACATGGCGAGAGTACGCGTCGACCTGCGTAGAGGACATCCATCATGTAACGGGGCTACAATAACCCATACTTAACTTACACTACTTACTGCTTTGAGAAAGCCTCAAAGACCAATTCTTAGGTGTTTAGTATTTTTAACTCTGTTTATATTTTTGTCTTTTATCATACTAAGTACGAATGGTTCCCTTGGACTCATGGATACCACTCAATCTACGCGCCGATATCTTACTGGCTAATGGTAGGACCAAGCCCATTGAACCAGCTAAAATACGACGTGCTACTTCCGCTAACTCAGAAGTAGATCTCCTACTTAATTGACATGTAAACTTAATCGAAACTACTTATGCAAAGGTATGGACCATTAGATCACCCCTTTCTCAAACAGCACCCACGAAGCGTGAGTGCTTAACTGCAAGAGCCCAACTGCACCCAAGCCATACGATGACCGAAGACGCGAGCACCAACGCCACAGCACTCCCGCGCACAATCAGCGGAAGTTCAGCAGACCACATGATGGATCAGCACCTGATCCTTTGGGCGCAATACGACCTATCCGCAGCTCAAGATTCGAACTCTCTTAAAACAACTTAGGATTACGTCCGACGCTTCCGCGGGTTATGCGGGAAGAGTCTTGAAGGCATTTTGTATGATTCGCAAAAGCGTTCCTGGTGCGCTTTCTTCCGGCGGTGGAAGCGTATGCTTGAGGATGGAAGGCACTGTTGGAAGTGCATGATGCACTGTTTTCGACTCCAGAGATTCGATTCATGATAGGGCATGTGTAAAACGTTCTTTAGGGCTCTATGCATTATAATAGGTCGTACAGCAGCTAGATATATGGATAGATCTCACTTGTAGTTTGACAAACCACTGATGAGGCTCCAGGCGGAAGCCCGAAACGCGTCTAGTGCGCGGTAACATACAAGTCGTTTACTTTACTTAACTCCTACTTCCAAAATTAACTTCCGACAGTGGCTTGCCAATCGCGAGGACTTTCACGGGCCGATCAATCTATCGGCGTGCTGTGCGGGAATATTTGCGAGGACGCGTAGAACGTACACCGTCTCTGCTACGTCCACGTGCCTGAATCTTGCTACTCTTGTGACTCGATGTCGCGTCCAGCTCGCGAAGCTCGGCGACAGCACGTCGCTAAGTATCCATTTAGCAAATATGAACAGCTCGGGTTGGAAGGTATGAGCGCATCTTGCAGGAGCGGAAGACCGTAGTTTTTCGTGTCGCGATAATACATCGGCACCACTCTCGTTCGCGTAGTCGCGGTGAACCCGTTCTCCACGACAGTGTTGTCGCCACCCTCTGTCTCGTTGTCGTGGTGACGTTTCACCACGACGTATCAGTCGTCGATCTTAATCTCGGAGTCGTGGTGACTCTACCAAGTTGTCGTTGCTCATGGTCTCGTCGTCGTTATTAGTCTACCACGACGTTTCAGTCGTTGCTCCTGGTCTCGTAGTCGTGGTGACACTTCACCATGACGCCGTTGACATTCATTTCATTCTCGTTCGCCACGAGAACACACACGTCGTCGGCCACATCAGATTTTGGCTTTTACACTGACTCGTAAACCCGAAAGACGTCTGGAAAGTCCCGAAGAGGCGAGGAGCGCAATTTCCACGCATCCTGCTCAAGTGAAAACCCGAGACAACGTGCACGGTACTTGTGCGCAGTTGAATTCGCACGTGCATAAGGTCGAGAAGATGAAACGTCGCGAAGAGAGTCCTCATGATCAAGTAAGAGCTCCACAATCCAGTGCTTCTGTCTTTCCGCATACAAAAGCGGCGGCAGGCCCTCGTGATGACAGCGTTGGCTTCCTGGTTGCCCAGGACAAAGTGGATGCGGCGGTAAACAAGTCTGTCGACGTCCAGCTGGAGGCTGAGGCTGCCTCTGAGCGTGCTGCGCAGACTGAGAGAACTGCGAGCGAAATTCGGCAGTCGAAACGCGAAATGCTAGAATGGATGAGGAACCTGGAACGCCAGGTTTTTGGGTACGCGCAGAATGGATAGCAGCCGCGTCCGATGTCATCGGCGCGTCGAGTAAGACGGAATAGAAGTTCGGAGTTTGAGCCTGTGTCTCCGGGGTCGGAACCAACCCGTGAAGCGTAGCAGGACGGTACTCCTTCCGTCGCCCGACGTAGAACTACAGGCGCATTCGCAGCTACGAAGGCATGTCCAGCGTGTAGGCGTCGCATATCGCCCAGAGCACCGTTAATGGACTGATAAAACGTGGTGCGATCTTACTCGCGCCTAAATTCGTAACTACCGAATCGCGTATGTCTACAAATAATAGCACTGCACAGTCACCTTGCTTAAATGCATTAATGTTCTTTATGCCATGTTTGGCTGCATTCTCTTTCTGTTCATCCACCGCAGATCGAAGAGTGTCTCGTACAAATTTCGTGATAGCTTGACGTTGACGTATAACCTCCGACACAGTAATGTCATTAATGGGTCACGTCAACTCAATCGGCGCGTAGATGACTAAAGGTGAGCGCATACGAGAAGAAGTGTCAATCAGTGTTTGCGCAATCCATCGATCTAGCGGGGACGCCACGTCTCGTGGCGTAAAAAAAAAAAAAAAACAGCGGCTTTCGCCTTAGAACGCGTGACGACATTCGCGCTCAGAATACCGAGAGCTGCACTCGATCGTTAATTACCACGTTCACCTCCCTCCAGAGTAAAGCCACGAAGTCGTGGGATGACCCACGGCAAGAAGAGCAGGAATTCGCGTGTGAAGAACCAAACTCTCAAAGAATGGCGTCAACATCGTTAACGCGTGAACAGCGTTGCTAAGTGCATACTCATCAAGTGGCAAAAAAAACTCCAAAACGTGAAGGAAGCAGCAAAACTTCGAAGATCATCTTTGAGGACTAGTTGACCAGCTCTGTTTGCCCATCCGTTTCTAAATGGACTGCTGTTGACGTTTGCAAGTTCGTGCGAAGCAGCTCAAATAATGAGGTTTATAGCACAGATATGGAGCGAGGATTGCGATCCGAGACAATTTCGTCTGGTAAACCGTGACGGCGAAACACTGAGTCAATGAAGTGCACCTCGGACTCTGCCGCGGTGATCGTTGCGTGAACAGGCACTAGGTGTGTAATCTTGCTAAATCTGTCCACAAAGACCAAGATGTCCTTTTGGTTGTGACTGTCGATCGCCAACCCGAAGATAAAGTCCATCGACACGGAGCGCCATGCCTCAGCTGAAATCGGCAAGGGTCGCAGGGGAGCATGCGACAATTGAAATGGCTTCACATTGTGACAGATTTCGCATTTGCAAATCCAATTGCGCATTTGTACATGAGGGTCCAGAATAAATCACGCGAAACAGCCGACCACCAACTGGGGCATCGTAGTACTCGTGGGTGATACGAGCACGCAGATCCAAGGCGTTTACGGTTACTGTTCGAGGTGCGTCGAGCCGATCGATGCTGTACAACATCAAATCACCATCCATAATGTATCACTGGATGTGATCACGCTTCGTTCGCGAAAGAGCTCCCATTGCAACTTTGCTGGGAGCGCGCAAATAGGCACTAATTTCCGCTTAATCTGAATCGTTCGCGTAAGCCGCGACGATTTCATCGAAAGGGGATAACTCGGTGCGACCCGAGTCGAGTTCAATGACACGATGACATGGACTTGACACACACGTCGTATATCTATCTTCTACGTCTTCGTCTTCAGTTGCCTGACGACTTAGCGCCATCCGAGGGTTGTAATCTTGGCGTCGTAACAGCACGTCAGCAAGAATGTTAGTCTTTCCTGACTTGTAGTGCACAAAGAAGTTAAACTCGGAGAAAAAAGAGAGCCACCGTGTCATCTGCTAGAACAGGTGTGGGCTCTTTATCGCTGTGCGCAGCGATGTATGATCAGTATACAGGGCAAACGTGCGTTCGCCCAGAAGATGTACTCGAAACTTGATGAGTGCGTAGCGCATCACTAGCAGTTCCTTAACGTGAACCAAATAGTTCTTCTCCGCCGGTTTTATCTGTGAAGACTGGAAGCTCAAGATTCTTTCACGGCTCTCATCATTGAAATGCATGAGAGCGCAAGCAACCAAAAACTTACCTACATCACACACCACGTGGTGCGGCTTGGTGTAGTCCAAATTTGCCAGCACTGGCGCTGACGCCAGGCTTTTTTTAACTGCGTCTAAGACCGCTTAATGTTTAGGAATCCACGACCACGTGTTGTCTTTCTTTAACAGTGACGACAGAGGTTGTATAGAACCGGTGTAAATTTTGGTATACTTATGCAGGTAGTTGGCTAGACCGAGCCATTGGCAAAACTTTGTAGGGTTCTTGGGTGTTGGCTAAGAACAGATCGATGACACCTTCTATGGATCGGCTTAAACCCCAGATTTGCTCATATAGCAACCCAGCACCGGAATCTCTGGTGCACAGAATACGTACTTCTTCGATTATGAATACAAATTGTTGTCTCGCATGACTTGAAACACCTGTTTTAATTGTTGAAGGTGGACATTAACAGCACTGAGGTTGCCCTTAGCGCTGCTGTAGACTTAAATGTCACCAAAGTAGCTTGGAGCAAAGTCTCGAAGCAGCTTAAACACGTGAGACACCATTCGATTAAAAGTGGCTGGAGCGTTCTTTAATCCTTGTGACATTAACAGCCACTCTTATAACATACCACTTGGTGTGCTCACCGCTGTGAGTGGTATGTCGCTCTGTATATCAGAATCTGGTAGAAGCTATCGGTCAGGTCGATGGTGCTGAAGATAACACTTCTTGACATGGAGTTCAACACCATGCTTTTCCTGGGGATGGGCGTTTATGCGGGGAAAGCTACTTCATTTAGCTAATTAAACGCGTGCACTATCCGCCATCCATTCGTAGACTTATTCACACAGAAGGTTGGGCTTGAGTGTGGTGAAAAACTCTCACGCACATGGCCCGCCTTTCGAAGAAACTTCACGAAATGCATTTATGGCCTCTACCTGGTCTCGAGGCAACGGCCACTGCCGCGTCACACAGTAATTTGAACCTGGCACGAGACTATCCTCATGTCGTACACCACGACCTACAGAATGTTCAGCCGAATTCTTTTGTCAGAAACACGAAGAACTCTCTAGCAATCTCGTAGACAACGGTACCGGACTCACGCAGAGCCTCCCATTACTGAGGTGCAAATATTTTTCTCGCGCGCTGACTTTAGTTCAGCGCTTTGAGGGCGCGCCATGTGCTCCTCGTTTAGCTCAGTCGTTACCTCATAGGTTACCAGGCAAACCTGTTCCACTGTGCCTCCCTTTAGATCACGTAGGAAATGCTTCCAGGAGAGCCCCGGAAGCCTCATAATCGAAGATGCGTCGCGCGGTGAACTCGCGACTTCAATGCAGTGGCGCCTTTGAGGATTCTTGTCCACGTACACGACAGCTTGAACGCATTCCAACGACGCATTCTCGATGCTTGCGTCCCCATCGTGTTCGAGTCCATGCTCGAAGCTGGCGATCTGCAGCTAGGTGAGAACCCATCACCCCCCTCAAGACACTACTTATCCTCATCTGGGTTGTCGAAATTGCGTGACGGGATTAACTCACACTCTTCCGTCGCCGCGTGATGCAAGAGATCCTGCCCGACTGCCTTTCACCGTGTGGGAGCCACTGGTTGAATCGGGAACCATGATTCAACCACTGTGGGTGATGATGGGTAATTATGTTCGACCATCATGTTCTGACGCGGGGACACTGCCCGTCCACGTCGCACTCGGTGACGAGCTCGTGCTCGACCACATCTTGTGAAAGCCTCTGATAAAATACAATACGTGCAGGTGGAAAATTCGGTTCGACCACTGCTCTTTCGTGTAAGAACCCCTGTTCAACCGCGTCGTCCTTGCACGGGAGCCACTGATCGTCCGTGTTATAATTTTCGCTGCAAAGCGAGAAGATGTCGTCACCTGCGTTCAATAGAATGGCACAAGCGGTGCAGAGAGGGCCATCGCTCGCTTTGTGCACCGCCTGTGTCGTGGAATCACGATCCACGACTACGAAGTTTGGCCAATATCTTGGGGACACCAAGAGATGGGTAAAAACTTCACGGACGTCGATCTTGCGTCGAAGTCTCACTGATCTCGATAATTAGTCAATCTAAGCTTGTAACTTGACACCCATGACATGCCTAGGATGCGTTCGAATGCATTGTTCATCTTAATCACCAAGAGGTTGTCGTTGCTGCGAAAGCCGTCGAACGTATACGGCACCGACACTTCGCGCCGCGATACGCGGCGTGATTACCCGTCAGCGAGCTTAACGACAGCTCAGCCAGGCCCCACGTGGACCTGGATGTTGGGTGGCAGCATCGACACACAAGATTCAAGGAAGAAATTGTTTGTCGCTCCTGAGTCCAGAAGCGCTCGTAGAGGTCGCCAGACACCGGCGACATGCAAATTGACAATGATCAGGCGTGTATCACCACTCGTAGTGATGACATTGCATCGTGCACTCGGCACCGATGGGCTAGGAGGTCGAGCTGCCACCGGTGGAAACAAACGTCTCTCAAATTCAGTGGGGAGCCCTGCACCTATTTGTCTCTTCCAATTTTTTATATGAGTGGGTAGTGCACCACCCTCATGATGATATTCCATCACATGAACCGACATCGGCGCCGGCGCGCAACATAAAGCCGCGAGATGTTCCGATTTTGTAAATCGAAAGCAGATCATCTGATGTCCGCTTCGGACGTCGCCCTTGTAGGGTGCAGCACGTCGTTTGTCCCGACTACTCAATCTCATTAATCTCCAAAGGTACCGGACCCGCTGATCTGCAGCTATACAAACGAAGGTTTGGTGTAGGCCTTGGTGACTCCAAAGTCTTCTCGGAGGGCAATAGCGAAAGCCTCTCTAGCGTAGTAGTCTCCGCGCTTTTAGTGACAGGCGAGTATGTCCCTCGCGCATACTACCAACAAAGACTCTCACTTATGTGTACATTTCCATGGGTGTTGGATGATTCTCGACGTCAGATGTTGAGCCATCTGCACATAGTGGCGCATG